GATGCTCAATGTGGGAGCTGCCCCCTGGTTGTCCGTGCGCTCCCACAGGGGGGAGCTCTGCTCAACCACAAGCCAGGCTGATGGCTGCCAGCACAGCGGTGGTGACGGGAGCCTCTCCCGTCTCCTCAGCAGTGCTAAGGATGTCCAACTGCAGCTTAGGCCTGCTCCCCGCTGACAAGTGGACATCCCCTGAGGGCTCCCGGGCTGCCAGAGGGATGTCTGACTGCCAGCTTAGGCCCAATCTCCCAGGGAGCGGGCCTAAGCCAGCAGGTGGACATCCCCTGAGGGGATGAGGGACACGCCCCCCCCAGTGCACAAATTTTTGTGCACCAGGCCTCTAGTATATATATAAAAGGCTAAGTTGACTCACATGCAGATACATATAAAGCTCTCGATGCCAATCGCATGCATATGTTTCAGTCTGTCATTGTCCACCATGAATTTGATTGACAGTTCTAGTACAGAGAAAGGGCGAATAGGGATATTAAAATATTCTAATTAATTTCCTTTCAATGTGCACGAATTTGTGCACCAGGCCTCTAATAAGTAAATAAAAATCAGTAGAAAAATATCCTCGGGTGGGAGTTAAAATAAAAAAAAGATGGCAACGTGGAAAAAAAATAGAAGAACTTATTCCTTGTCAACATTTTTTGGCATAAAAATGCAAACTAATATTTTTAATCCTCACCTGTGGATATGTTTATTGATTCAAGAGAGAAAGAAAAATTGATTGGTTGCCTCTTGCATGTGCCCCAATTGGAGACGGAACCTACAACCTAGGTATGTGCCCTGACTGGGTATCGAACCCGTGACTTTTTGGTGTACAGGATAATACTCTAACCAACTGAGCTACCAGGCCAGGGCTAGAATTTTTTTAATGTTTTTATTAATTTTTAAAGAGAGAGGAAGAAGGAAGAGGGATAGAGAGATAGAAACATTGATGAGAGAGTAACAGCATCATCCTGCCTCTTGAATGTCCCCTACTGGGGATTGAGCCTGCAATCCCAGCATGTGCCTTGACCGGAATTGAACCAGTAACCTCTTGGTTCATAGGTCGATGGTCAACCATTGAGCCACACCAGCCGGGTTAAACTAATTTTTTTAATGGAGTGCTTGTATGGTTGTTCATATGCTGCCCTATAAATTTTTTATGATTGGCAATGAGTCAATCAAGCAACAAAGTTTATTTAAATGGATGCTTTTTCTCAGGGGGAAATAAAAGTACCATTGCAAAAATACTAGCTCAAAAATGCCACAAAACAGTCTGATTGTGATAGTGCAGATTATTTTTTTTCCTTGCTAAAAGCAGGTCATGTTACAGTCTTCTCTTTTTTTTTTCTTTTCTTTTTTTTAAAACACATTTTATTGATTTTTTACAGAGAGGAAGGGAGAGGGAGAGGGATACAGAGTTAGAAACATTGATGAGAGAGAAACATTGATTCAGTTGCCTCTTGCACGCCCCCCTACGGGGAATGTGCCCACAACCCAGGTACATGCCCTTGACCGGAATCGAACCTGGGACCCTTCAGTCTGCAGGCCGACACTCTATCTGCTGAGCCAAACCGGTCAGGGCTTCTTCTTTTTTTTTTTATTAATATATTTTATTGATCAATTTTTTACAGAGAGGAAGAGAGAGGTATAGAGAGTTAGAAAAATCGATGAGAGAGAAACATCGATCAGCTGCCTCCTGCACACTCCCCACTGGGGATGTGCCCGCAACCAAGGTACATACCCTTGACCGGAATCGAACCTGGGATCCTTGAGTCCGCAGGCCAACGCTGTATCCGCTGAGCCAAACGGTTAGGGCCAGTCTTCTTTTTTTAAATATATTTTTTTATTGATTTCAGAGAGGAAGGGAAAGGGAGAGAGAGATAGAAACATCAATGATGAGAGAGAATCATGGATCAGCTGCCTCCTGCAGGGCCCCTATTGGGGATTGAGCCTGCAATCTGGGCACATGCCCTGACCCAGAATGGAACCAAGACTTCCTGATTCATAGGTCAACGCTCAACCACGGAGCCATGCCTGCCTGGCATAGTCTATTCTGACTCTTGGTCTGTGTGTTTCCACTTAGATCACAGTTTTCTAAGATGTTGTTTATACTGCATTTACTGTCTCTCTCCAGTCATGGGTTAGGTGTGGGATTAATTACCTTTATTGTAACTTTGCCCATGCATGTATAGTCTGTTTTAGTTATAACTTTTAGAAATTGAAGAAAACATTTAAAATGAATACTACTTCTCTTTGGGGGTGAAAAAAAAGCACATGCAAATTCTGATGATTCTGCTTTTCTCATTTTTCATGTAGCGCAGGAGGCAGCCAGTTGATTCTCTCTCATCATTGATGTTTCTGTCTCTTTCTCTCCCTCTCCCTTCCTCTCTGAAATAAACAAAATAATGTATTTTTAAAAGATTATTATTAATGTTATTAACATAATTACATAAATCACAAAAAGCTAACTTGTTTTCTGAAATCTTTTTTTCCCCCTAATATATTTTTATTGATTTCAGAAAGGAAGGGAGAGGGAGAGAGATAGAAACATTGATGAAAGAGAATAATGAACTGGCTGCCTCCTGCACACCCCTAGCTGGGAATTGAGCCCACAACCCGGGCATGTGCCCTTGACTGGAATTGAACTGTGGACCCTTCTGCCCCAGGCCAACACTCTATCTTCTGAGCCAACTGGCTGTTTGCTGAAGTCTTTTAATAAATAGTTACAAGCTTTGTCAGAGATAAATTTGTCATTTGGTGGACATGGTGTCTGCATCTTATGGTGATTTAGTGACAGAAGAGAAGTAATGTTAAACTCCAGGCCCAGCAGCTCCTGTCTCAGTTGTGCTTTTGTTTTGCCTTTTAGGTATTCCAAATGCTGCTAGAGTTCTTGGAGCAAAATATTGCCAAGGTTTGGGAAATGCTTTCCTAACAAAGTATTGCTACCCCACAATAGTTATATCTTTTCTCCAGTCTGGTGCTTTTGGATTAATATGCCAACCACATTTGTTCCATTACAAGTCTATTTATTAACATCATGCATATGATTATCAAACCTGTGTTCTCTGGCACATCACTATAAAGGATTTTGCTCTTTGAGGAAAAGTCCCTGCCTTATACTTTTTTGTATATTTCATACTGTAGTCTCCTTATTAACTACTTTGTGCTAACATAACTACATGCTGAGCTAAATTGAATTAGTGTGTGTGTGTGTGTGTGTGTGTGTGTGTGTGTGATTGGTTTTACAACAAGAAACAAGAGTAGAAGTTTTATTGATCCTTTCATTCCTGTTCATAAGGAGAAATCATTCTGATTTCCAAATTTGAAGAAAGTTGGAACATTTCATGGTTGTGTAGATATTAAAATTTCTAGTATTTTTTCCCCACCACTAAGCAAAATTGATATGGTAAGGGAATACTAGGACAGCCTACTTACTATCTGAGCTCTTCTATAAGGACATAGAAAAGCTATACATGCCAATTACATTTGCAATGGAGAAAGTGCTAATTGTCCATTTAATGTTCTTTTTCTGTAAAAAGACTACCAGAAAACTTAATTCCATATTTCCTGGATTACTAGTAAATGTTTACCGAAACCTGCACACATGTGACTACCCTTCATTCTAAAGATTAAAGTGCCAATAGAGACGAGTGCAACTGTGGCAAAATGTTGAAGGTGTAGAAATCCTAATCATGGATAAATTTACCATGCATAGAAGGGATGCTGCCTGGCAAATGCATTGGAACCAAAGCTGTCCAACTCACGGACCAAAATATGTGAGCACATATATGGAAATATGTAATTTCCATAAGGACTTTTTGCTTTTAGCACAATTTACCAAGAAATGTTTGATAGCTTGCTACTGCCATCTACTGGTGTGCTGTAATACATAGAAATAAAAGGGAATTCTGTTTATTAGAATCCTTAAAATATTCTTTACTGAGGGTAACACAATTTCCTTATGGTTCATACAGTATTTACTTTGTAGTATGCGTTTAGTGAACAAACTCTGTAAGTTTTTCTCCACTATTACAATGTGCAATTTCTCTGTTTCGAATTTCTGATCAAACCTTTTTTCCCCCTTTGTCATCCGTTCTTAGTTTAATGGACCGAGAAGTGGCATTGCTGGCTGAAATGGACAAAGTGAAAGCTGAAGCAAGTAAGATTGATCTTTAATTAAAGCCATTACCAGTTAGTAGTCCTTCTTCTCAACCCCTATAGCTAAAGCTCAATAAATGTCAACAATAGTTTATATATTTAATTAAACAATTTTGAGTAGTTGTACTGCGTTAGTGTATGAATTTTTTTTTCAGGCAAAACTTTATGAGAGCCTGTTTTTAAAATATTTCCAAATTTTAATATTTTGGATATAGAATTAAATGTATAAGAGACTTCATCATGGTGTCGTCTTTCACCACAGCATCAATTTAGGAAAGTAAAGTCTCCTGCAGGTGCCTGGAGTATTATTTTATTCTATTTTTCTCCAGTGATTGAAGATTTCCTTTGGCACAATCAGAGGAGACTTGCACGTTGCCTACAATTTAGTGTATACATTCATGTCGTTAGCTATCTCATAACTTTTTTTCTCAGTTTATAGAACAGTCTTTACTCAGTGTCTAATCATTTGGGTAGAGGAAAATCGATGGATTGAAGGTTCAAGATACCTTGACTAGGGTTCCTTGAAAGCTTATAAAATAGATTCTGGCGGGGAGAAACCAAGATAGCGGCATAGGTAAACACCGGAGTTTGCTGCCTCGAACAACCACTTCAGAAATACAACTAAAAGACGGAATGGACATCATCCAGAACCACCGGAAGGCTGGCTGAGTGGAAATTCTACAACTAGAAGGAAAAAGAAAAGCATACCAAGATTCAGAGGAGGCGCATTGCGGAAGTAAAATACTAAGGTACAGAGGCGCACATGGAGCGGACTGGCAGCTGAGGGTGCGGTTGTCGTTTTCAATCCGG